GAACGAAAAACGAAAATTTAAGCTGAATTCTCGTTTTTCGTTTTTTGGGAATAAAACAAAAACACGAAAAAGGAGCCGTTTTCTCATTTTTCTACTTTCAATATTAAATAAAAAAATGAATGATCGAATGATACACGGATTGTAAACGTAGCCTTAGAATGAGTTGAGAAGTATAAACAAATTAAAAATCAAAACAAAAAGTCTGGGGTCATTTTGTAATTGTTTTTTTAAAAAGTCTTTTATAATCAAAATTTTTCCAAAACACGAAAAACGAGAATTCAGCTTAAATTTTTGTTTTTCATTCTTGGGTGGAAAAATGAATAAACAGCTTGAATATTCGATTTCTACACGTGGGCGGGAATTAAACGCCCCTTTCTGCTGATTGGTCAGCCGAAGATCAAACCGTACCATCATCAGTTCTTCTGCAGTATCATGCAGCAGAATAATAGTCCTCCACTGCTGCAGTTGTACGGATTCTTAACGCATTTATTGCAACTACATTTCATATGTTTTTTGAAAACATATGAAATGTATGTTTTCAAGTTTTCTAAGTTATACTTATTATAACTTAAGTCATTTTGTAATTGTTTTTTTAAAAAGTCTTTTATAATCAAAATACGAGGAAATACAGTAAAAACAGTAATACTGTGAAATTACTGTTTTCCGTTTTAATGTTTAAAAATGTAATGTATTCCTGTGATGCAAAGCTGAATTGTCAGCATCATTACTCCAGTCTTCAGTGTCACATGATCCTTCAGAAATCATTCTAATATACTGATTTACTGCTCAAGAAACATTTCTTATTATTATCAATGTTGAAAACACTTGTGCTGCTTAATATTTTTGTGGAAATGTTGTTAATTTTTCAGGATTCTTTGATAAATAGAAAGTTTAAAAGAACAATATGTATTTGACGTTTTTGTAACATTATAAATGTCAACACTGTCACTTTTGATGCAACTTAATGCATCCTTGCTGAATAAAATATTAACTTATTTCAAATAAAAAATAACTGACCCCAAACTATTTTAGTGTTTTAAAATAGTTGGCTAGTAATTTAGTTATTTACTTTTTTTACAAAAACATACATAATCTCACTTATACAAATATTGGTAAAATGAAATGTATTTCTTATGGTGTGGGCAGTAAATATGTTAAAAATGTGAAAAGCAGGGGAAAAAAATCAATAGCATCATCTGTCAGATTGTTTTTTCAATCTAAACCTCTATATTGGTTTGTCTTTCAGCCAGAAGACATCGGGCAGTCTCCAGCCCCCACATCAGACAACGACAAAGTGGACCTGGAGGCCTTCAGTGAGTTCACCAAGATCATCACCCCTGCCATCACACGAGTTGTGGACTTTGCCAAAAAGCTGCCCATGTTCTCTGAGGTCAGTGTCTGTGTTTTCAAATACTGCACATGAACGTCTCCGTTCTCCACCGCGCCTGAAAAAGCCCCTCCGCTGCTGATGCTTATTCCATAAATTCACATTTTCATAAACAGCACGGTGCTGCATTATTACATCAGTTGTCAGAGACCGCTGTGAAAGAGCAATTATGTGCTCAGCTCCAGCTGTCACTGTACTTTCTGAACCAAAACGGCATGCCTGTGCTTGTGTGTGAATGAAAAAGGCTGCCTTGCTACCGCATTTGAGTAATGGCCTTATTAAAACATTGGCTGTGATTACAGGCTGTTGCTGTGCTTTGAATCGCTTGTTATTTTGCCACTCTAATCGCTCATGTGAACACATAATGATCACAAATCATCAGTTGTTGACTTGCTACATTGAAGCCTCTAGTTAGAAGCCTCTAAGGGAGATATTTGATTGTGCTAGGAATCTCAAAAAACTATTTAAAAGACAGCAATCAAATAGTGGTCCGTCCTTGTTTTTGAGCCTTGATTAATATCATGCAAACAGGAATCATTTGTGCTTTATTGTCTTCCACTGGTGTCCAGCTCCCCTGTGAAGACCAGATCATCCTGCTGAAAGGCTGCTGTATGGAGATCATGTCGTTGCGCGCAGCGGTACGGTACGACCCGGAGAGCGAGACGCTGACCCTGAGCGGGGAGATGGCTGTCAGTCGAGAGCAGCTGAAGAACGGAGGGTTAGGAGTGGTGTCTGATGCCATCTTTGATTTGGGCAAGAGCCTGTCACAGTTCAACCTGGATGACTCAGAGGTGGCGCTGCTGCAGGCTGTACTGCTCATGAGCTCAGGTGAGATGGACTGACAGCTGCTACAGCCATATGTGTGTCTTATGAAGATCCTGTCATCATTTACTCACCTTCATGTTGTTTCAAACCTCTTCTCCCATTGAACACAAATGGATAATTTTTAAATACGAAATTTTAAAAGTTATTGTTCACTGATCATCTTGTCCTCCGCTGCAGCTTTCAGAACAAAAACATTGATGTACGTTTGACAAGACACACACAAACTAATGAATTGGGAAGGAGGTTTATCAGTGAATAATAACTTTCTGTTGGTTCCTCACAATTCGTCTGTATAACCTTTCATTTTCAAGTGCTTAAAATACAGTACCATTCAAACGTTTGGGGTCAGTAAGATTTTTTTATGAAGAAATCAAAATTGTATTCAGCAAGGATACATTAAATTGATCAAAAGTGAGAGTAAAGACTTTTATAATGTTTAATTATCTGTTTAATTTCAAATGTATTTTATTTTAAATTATTTATTTTATAATGTTTGTTTGCTTGTTTGTTTGTTTATTTATATATGTGACCCTGGACCACATTGTCCACTGGACAATATTTGGCCGAGATACAACTATTTGAAGATCTGGAATCTGAGGGTGCAAAAAAATTCTAAATATTGAGAAAATCGCCTTTAAAGTTGTCCAAATGAAGTTCTTAGCAATGCATATTACTAATCAAAAATGAAGTTTTGATATATTTACGGTAGGAAATTTACAAAATATCTTTCTCGAACATGATCTTTACTTAATATCCTAATGATTTTTGGCATAAAAGAAAAATCAATCATTTTTACCCATACAATGTATTTTTGGCTATTGCTACAAATATACCCCAGCGACTTAAGACTGCTTTTGTGCTCCAGGGTCACATATATTTATTTCAAATAAATGCCATTCTTTTGAACTTTCTATTAATTAAGGAATTTTGAATAAATGTATTACCGTTTCCGCCCATGTTCTCTGAGGTCAGTGTCTGTGTTTTCAAATACTGCACATGAACGTCTCCGTTCTCCACCGCGCCTGAAAAAGCCCCTCCGCTGCTGATGCTTATTCCATAAATTCACATTTTCATAAACAGCACGGTGCTGCATTATTACATCAGTTGTCAGAGACCGCTGTGAAAGAGCAATTATGTGCTCAGCTCCAGCTGTCACTGTACTTTCTGAACCAAAACGGCATGCCTGTGCTTGTGTGTGAATGAAAAAGGCTGCCTTGCTACCGCATTTGAGTAATGGCCTTATTAAAACATTGGCTGTGATTACAGGCTGTTGCTGTGCTTTGAATCGCTTGTTATTTTGCCACTCTAATCGCTCATGTGAACACATAATGATCACAAATCATCAGTTGTTGACTTGCTACATTGAAGCCTCTAGTTAGAAGCCTCTAAGGGAGATATTTGATTGTGCTAGGAATCTCAAAAAACTATTTAAAAGACAGCAATCAAATAGTGGTCCGTCCTTGTTTTTGAGCCTTGATTAATATCATGCAAACAGGAATCATTTGTGCTTTATTGTCTTCCACTGGTGTCCAGCTCCCCTGTGAAGACCAGATCATCCTGCTGAAAGGCTGCTGTATGGAGATCATGTCGTTGCGCGCAGCGGTACGGTACGACCCGGAGAGCGAGACGCTGACCCTGAGCGGGGAGATGGCTGTCAGTCGAGAGCAGCTGAAGAACGGAGGGTTAGGAGTGGTGTCTGATGCCATCTTTGATTTGGGCAAGAGCCTGTCACAGTTCAACCTGGATGACTCAGAGGTGGCGCTGCTGCAGGCTGTACTGCTCATGAGCTCAGGTGAGATGGACTGACAGCTGCTACAGCCATATGTGTGTCTTATGAAGATCCTGTCATCATTTACTCACCTTCATGTTGTTTCAAACCTCTTCTCCCATTGAACACAAATGGATAATTTTTAAATACGAAATTTTAAAAGTTATTGTTCACTGATCATCTTGTCCTCCGCTGCAGCTTTCAGAACAAAAACATTGATGTACGTTTGACAAGACACACACAAACTAATGAATTGGGAAGGAGGTTTATCAGTGAATAATAACTTTCTGTTGGTTCCTCACAATTCGTCTGTATAACCTTTCATTTTCAAGTGCTTAAAATACAGTACCATTCAAACGTTTGGGGTCAGTAAGATTTTTTTATGAAGAAATCAAAATTGTATTCAGCAAGGATACATTAAATTGATCAAAAGTGAGAGTAAAGACTTTTATAATGTTTAATTATCTGTTTAATTTCAAATGTATTTTATTTTAAATTATTTATTTTATAATGTTTGTTTGCTTGTTTGTTTGTTTATTTATATATGTGACCCTGGACCACATTGTCCACTGGACAATATTTGGCCGAGATACAACTATTTGAAGATCTGGAATCTGAGGGTGCAAAAAAATTCTAAATATTGAGAAAATCGCCTTTAAAGTTGTCCAAATGAAGTTCTTAGCAATGCATATTACTAATCAAAAATGAAGTTTTGATATATTTACGGTAGGAAATTTACAAAATATCTTTCTCGAACATGATCTTTACTTAATATCCTAATGATTTTTGGCATAAAAGAAAAATCAATCATTTTTACCCATACAATGTATTTTTGGCTATTGCTACAAATATACCCCAGCGACTTAAGACTGCTTTTGTGCTCCAGGGTCACATATATTTATTTCAAATAAATGCCATTCTTTTGAACTTTCTATTAATTAAGGAATTTTGAATAAATGTATTACCGTTTCCACAAAAATATTAAACAGCACGGTTATTTTTAACATTCATAGATAGATAGATAGATAGATAGATTGCAATTTTAATAATGTAATAAATAAAAAGTTAATAAATCAGTTACATTTAAAATGTTACATTAGAAAAGTTATTTATAATTCTAGTCATAGTTCACAATATGTTTGTTTTACTGAATTTTGGATCAAATAAATGCTGCCTTGGTGAGCATTAGAGACTTTATTTGAAAACAAAAAAAAACCCAAACCTTTGAACTGTTCTGGATATGTAATCAGTTATGTTTTCTTTAATATTGCGTTTACTGCTAAATGGCACCATCTAGTGGATAAAAAAAAAATCACAGCCAAAATATCTTATTTAAAATATTTCATAATAATTAACCTTTTTATGTAACATCCATTCATGCTCAAGTGAGATGCATTACAGATATGCTTGATGTATAACATTTTAAATATAATGGTAGTCTGCTAAATAAAACCTGTAATCCAATGATTATTTACTTACCACTTTACAAAAAACATTAATATAACCCTTATGAAATATTGATTTGTGTTCAGTGGGAAAAAATAACAACATGTAGGTTTGAAACCACACGAGAAGGATAAATTATGATTTTTCATTTAGTGGTGAACTAGTCCTGTATCCTTCCTTTAACTTTCCTGTTATGACCTCTGACAGTCTTGACAGTCATTTCAATATTAGTTTGATTTTCCGTTGCACAGATCGTTCCGGACTCACGTGTTTGGAAAAGATTGAGAAGTGTCAGGAGATGTACTTGTTAGCATTCGAGCACTACATCAACCATCGCAAGCACAACATCTCACACTTCTGGCCCAAGCTGCTGATGAAGGTGACGAACCTGCGCATGATCGGCGCCTGTCATGCCAGCCGCTTCCTGCACATGAAAGTGGAGTGTCCCACAGAACTCTTCCCCCCGCTCTTCCTAGAGGTCTTCGAGGATCAGGAGGTGTGACCGAGAGCCACAGGGGAACTCGGGGAGGGAAAACTGATCGTGAATTTGTTTTCGCAAAGCATTTGTTTTTTGCATCCTCATGCAACGCCGAGCTGGAACATGCACCGCCAGCTTTGTCTAGGATATGTTTTGGGTTGTCGGCCTCCATATCTTTCGACCCTACAGTCACTTGCCATTCAGATTTCTCCCACAGACGGACAAAAAGCTAGCATGCATCAACCTACCTCTCGTACCGACATACCTCCCAACCTCAGAAGGAGCTTATTTTAAAAGCGTGACAAAGAAACCCACACATTCAAAAGCTATTTCATAACCTATTTCGGAAATGCTAGCTGTTGTTGTAAGTACAGAGGAAACGTCTATGAGCAACATCGAACACCTACATTTGGGCTCTACACGATTAACCTAATTTTCCTCTGATTACAGTAGTATTTCAGCATTCATCTTCCTCTTTGCACGCATAGAATATCTCCTTTGTGAACATAACTACCTGTGTGCACTTGTACATACGTTAATATGTTGTGTGAACTTCTCGAACCTCATATACACCAGCATACAGACATACATGTAGCAACATGTCCATACATGTATGTATGCGTACTATTCTGCCTGCATTAACCCATTTATCTTCTTACAATGCAGCGTCTACAGTTCTCACATACCTTCCTATCTACCATATCCACTTGCATGTTACTTAAGCTCAACATTTTGTGACCTCATTTTCTGAATAGTCTCTTGTCGCTTTCTGGTGTGTGACCGATATAGCTGTGGTGGGGTATTTCCTCCTGTATTCATCTGTCCTAGTGTTGTCCGTTTGGGCAGACAGATTGATGTACATATGTATTAAGCCATATGCTGTGGTTTGAGACGCATCCATCTCCATATTATGGACTTCAGATCGCTCATTGTGCTCCAATTGACCTGGCTCATCAGATGGTAGAACCATATGGTATTACATAGAACTTCAGAGGTATTCTGGTATTCTGGGATTATATCCAAAAAAACATGGTAGTGTCATGGTACTTATTTTAGGGGAATATTACCCCTGAAATCCATCCATCATACCACTTATGTGGACAAATTAGAAGTACAGGGTGGTAAATGATTCCTGAAAATCAGAATTTGACAGATGATAACAAAAACAGGAACTAAGGGTTAGAGCATAAGAGTAATAGGTTACATTGGGGCTAAACATCAAAATAACTACTTCAACAAAAGGCGTTGAACAATTTTCTGTTTATTTAATTGTGTTGTATGGAAATATGATTAAATACTAAAATTATTTTAGTATCGTATTTAAAAATGTATTTTTGCTACATTGTTTCACACATTAATCTCCATTTTTATTGGAGCAGTCAATTCAAAACTCAAAATTTGAAAATTCTGTCAACATTTACTCACCCTAAAGTTGTTCCAAATCTCAAGTTGTTCCTGTTGAGCACAAAATAAGGGCCCTCCTTTTCAACAGTGTGTACGCACAGATGTGTGCGTACACACAGTTTCACACAAAGCGTGTGATCTAACAACTTGTACTTATATGCAGGAATGTGTGTAAATATTGTGGAAGGACAAAATATAGAAACTTTTCTACGCACTGTTGATAAATGAGGCCCCAGATATTTTGGAGAATGTTAGTAACCAAACAGTTGACGGTATCCATTGACTTCCATAGTATGGGGGAAAAATACTCTGGACCATCAACTGTTTGGATACCAGCATTCTCCAAAATATCTTCTTTTGTGTTTGACAAAAGAAACTCATACAGGTTTTCAACAAATGGAAGGTGAGCAAATGATGACAGAATTAAAATTTTTGTGTGAACTGTCCGTTTAAATCAAACAAAAAAAGCTTCAAGATAAATCACAACATTTCAAACTGCAGTTTGATCAGTTAATGACATCAGAGCTCATTGTAGGTTTGTTGTGAAATGTTTATACAGAATTACAGTTAGCATGAAATGCAAATTCACCACATCTGTTTTCTAAATGCACGTTATTGATGATTTTGTGATCTATTCATTTGTGCATATATGCATTTTTGGCACTGTGTTTAATCAAAATCATATACACTCAGATGTATGTCACAATACAGAAGAAAAGATATGTTGCTACTTTCATTTTATCACAAGTATTTACCTAATACAAATTTGACCTAATACCTAATACTAATTGCTAGTTTTAAATTTAATCACCTTCAACAAAACTGAAAATCAAGTTTTTGTTGCAAAATATATTATATAATTTCAGGGATTCTCATTAGATACATCTGCAACATTTACAATAAAAAAAAAACCCGAAATGACTTCAAATAAACCTTATTTATTTTGCAGTGCATAGCAACAAACAGGTCCTTCGGGAAGTTCTGTAGTTGTGTTTGTGGATATTCATTGTCTGGAGAGGGAAATTAAATATATTATATAATTTCAGGGATTCTCATTAGATACATCTGCAACATTTACAATAAAAAAAAAACCCCGAAATGACTTCAAATAAACCTTATTTATTTTGCAGTGCATAGCAACAAACAGGTCCTTCGGGAAGTTCTGTAGTTGTGTTTGTGGATATTCATTGTCTGGAGAGGGAAATGAAAAATAGAAAGGACTTTTAGCCCCATTGTACCCTACGTCTTTGCCGATTTTGAAAGTAGAGAACTTACAATCGCCACAACCTTCTTGCAAGAGGAAATTAAATGAGTGTCACTTACCTCTCCATGTCTTCAAACAGACTCTACCTCACCCCTCATCTGTGTATCACAGTCTACAAAGCACTTTTTTTCCACTCACCTGCTCACGCATATATTCCTGCTTAAACCTGTACATAAACATGCACACATTTACACTAAAAAGTCACATACGTGTGATAGCAACCTCTCTCATGTGTGTGTATACTGCGTTCCCTTTCACTTGTGATGTGGGACCAAGTGTCAGTCTTATTCCCTAATTCTGAGGACAGTAAGAATGTGCCGGACTGCATGAATTTCACTGTGCTGTGACCGAGCTAACAGATTGCTTAGCACATTATTTTGCTTTAAGCAAGTGCTGGAGAAGCAGCACAGGAAGATGGCTCCTGAGTAACACAAACCTCATATTTTGTCAGCCCAGTACTGTGGTCCCTGTTCCTCCAAACCTGACCTGTTCATGTGCGCCCATACATCTCACACAAGAACTTTACATGAACTCTTCCCCAGCAAAGGACACAGCCAGACCCCCAAAGTAGTTTAACCAGATGCATAGACGCATAGCAGGGTTTCAATGTCCTTTTTGACTGATACGGTGTCAGTTTGGCTCCAGGAAGTGACACGCAGCCTCCATTTAAAGTGACACAGAGGAACAAAAGGGCAAAAAGGACAGTCTCACTGTGACTAGCTAAACTCAGGCACGGAGCTCCCATGAGGCCATGCATCTGACTCAGGCTCAATCTAACCCACCAGCACTGCAGACATGCACTGCCCACAGTCACAATCTACTGCACCAGCAAGGGTCAGCTCAGCTGAGCCCTGCACACAGACCCTGTTCTTGATAACGGGGAATCGGGAAGCCATTTGTTTTGCTGGACGTCCAAACCTGGTTTACAGCACTTTTATTAGAACATAATTCAGTCCTTTACACCTAGCCAGATCATGAATATGTTGATTGAGACTTTGACTCTTAAAGGGGTCATATCATGATATTTTGAAATAAAAGTTCATTGTACTATGACATCAGACTGTAACTTCCAGAACTTCTTCCCTTGTCCAAATTTAAAGGGCATTTACTGAAACTACACAGCAAAAATGTATTTTTCTGAATAATAATGACCACCAACATTTACATATTAGCAATTCTTATTTTGTGTCCACTCAAAATGACCAAGTAGGATAGGTAATATTATTGTTAAAACACCAGCAGGACTGACGATTGGAGTAAAATGTTGGATATTGCGTCAAACTTTGTGCTTTTCCTGGCTGTGTGTAGCACCTACCGCTCTGCAGATCTTATGGGATCCCAGTGTTGAAGGAATAATTCACCCAAAAATGACAATTCTGTCGCCATTTACTCATTCTCATGTTGTTCCAAATCCAAAGACTTTTGTTTATCTTTAAATACAAATGAGGATATTTTTAATATATTCTCCTATTTTTTGTCCATTTACTTAAAGTCCACGCAATCGAAGGTTTGACACATCAAAAAGTACAGAGAATCTACATGAATCAAGCAGTTTAAATCACATCTTCTATAGAGACACAAGTGCTTTATATGTTAATTTAGTATTTTGTTGTTCAAATACGAACATATATATCATCAAATATGGTTTTTACCATTTTCTGTAAGAAAAAATAAATAGTAAAAAAAAAGGGTGGGAAAGGGAAAAATACTGCAAGGACAATATCCCTTAAATTAAATTTATGATAACACGATTTTCATTTTTGGGTGAAATATTCCTTTAAGAAACATCATCTTTAAGGTTTCAGTGCACATTTCAGAGCAGATTGGATCCAGTTTACAGATGCGTAGAGCAAAGCCCTGTTGCTCATTTCACATGGAAATAAACTGTTTATGACTTAAAGGCAAAAAAGCCTGTTCAATGTTGAAGATCAGCAACAAGATGTAAAAACAGCAAAAAATTATAAGTGGACCTCATGGGAAAAATGTTAAACAATGATAATAATACAATGTATGATATGACTCCTTTAATAGATCTTAAGAAGGGCATAGTCTTCTCAACAGCCCTCTGGAAAATTCGCACGCACCAAGAAATCCCATGTCAGCTACATGTCCACAGTCTGCAATGTAGCAAGCCATATTTGAGGTCCAAAATTTCAAGTGTGAAAAGAAGACCCTGTCCATCTTCTGATGAGGAATGTAAAAAAAAAAAAAAAAGACAAAGCACTCTTTAGTCAGAATACTTGCTGTTTTTTTATGCTGAGTGGACATAACATATTTGCAGGCTGTGAATTTTAAGTGAGCCGATTGTGACAAGCAATTGTTCGAACAGAGCAAAACTAAAGTTCATTTCAGACACTGTGCTTTGCTGTACATGTTTTTGAATCTGAACTGTACTGTGGGTGTTGTAAGTGCTCAGCCATCGTGCTTCTCATGTGTTTAGTTGGTTTGACACACTTCATTACTATTTACTCTGTCTGTCTCCAATATCAAGATTCTCTTGTAGTGATTTGATGATGAACACTTCTGTTATTTCAAACCTTCATACCTCACATGAACGATATAAGAGGATGAGTTCAACATAGACTTATTAATGTCACATTTATGTCAAATACACAGCAGTTTTCACTACTCCAGTATCTTAGACTGCCATAATGCGATCAGGCTGGATTGAATGGCTTGACAGTTTGGAAACAAGATGCTAAGATTTTTATCCAGTCAGAAAGAGACACATCTGCAGCAGATCTGTGTTTCTTTGAGAGATAATCCATCGTCGCCAGTACCTCAATCTCCAGTATTCAACAGGGTCTAACACACAACAGGACCTCACACACTTACTTTAAGAAACCATCCTCATCCTCACCGCAGGAACCTCACTGGCTATTGTTTTGTAAACCTATTCAGTGCAATAGACCAGGGGTACAGAACTCAGTTTATTTCCAACCCTGCACCAACACATATACAATGGCGTTTTCAAATAAGCCTGAAGGACTTGATCAGCTGGATCAGGTGTGTTTAATTGGAGCTTAACTCTGCAGGGCTGTGGACCTCCAGAAACAGTTCTGCACCCCTGTAACAGACCGCAATTTTATGTTTGATAAGTGATATATAGCTATATTTTTCTTCTTTAAAAATGATTTTATCTGCACTATCTATCACAAATAGCTCTGTATAATGACAAAGACAATGATGCTTGCACAAATGTTTGTCTGTGTCATTTTCTTGCTCGTAAAGCAAAGTCTATGTGCTTTTACTCGATTTTGAACACTATGCTTATACGGGAAGTTGTTAAGGTGCCCTCTCCTTTGTGGGTCAGTGATACACCATCTAGTCCAGTGATGCAGAATTGCTGATAAATCATCCTTTGTAGCATTGTACATTATCCTTCTATGAAACTGCCCTGTACCAACCTGTAATGGATGTGAAAGGCCTGTGAGGTTTTCCCCCTACAATGCCTCTGTTCAGTGGGTGCAATGTAGACTATGTGTTTTCTTCTTTTTTTATATTTCAACTTTATTTGAAGAAAATTCAACAATTTTAACTGATTCTCAAATCTTTTTTTTTTTTATAAAGATGTTTGCTTTGAGCAATTATATTTGCATG